AGAGAGTATATCGCTATTTCACTGCCGACATATTCATTACATCAGAACTTATCACTGGACAATAAAACTGTTGAAACTTAAGCTCAAATATCTAAAAATAAATTGATGAAATTTTATCCAAAATATTGGTATATTTAGAAATGCAAAATTGTTAATATATATATAATTTTGTAAGCCATGCCAATAATTAGTGTGGTAATTTGTTGCTAATTTCTTTAATTCTTTATATTATATTAAATTTAAATTAATTTAATGTATATACATCTGGTTGCACTAAGGGTTTGTTTGGGACAATTTTCTTATTGTTTTATTTTTTAGATCACAATCATAATTCTTTATTGTGGCTTTATTTTATTTTTTCAATATTTTTACAAAAAAGTTGTGTTAGGAAGCTATTTTTTTATAACATCTTTATAAAATTTACTTTCTTCACAATAACTTTATAATAACATTTACAAAATTTTGCAGCCATCCCAAATGGATTCTAAATTATGATTGCTCCATTTGTCCATACATCTCTGTCTCCTTTATCTCACATAAAATGATAAAAATTATCTGTCTGACGCAATTATGCCTCTCATATTCATCAAGATGAATTAACACAAATAATATTGATTGTTGCATTGAGTGTTTTGGTTATAAATCAGAGGTCTTGAGTCTTATGTATATGATGCGTGTTAGGGGTGCAAACGAGTCAAGTCGAGCTCGAATAAGATTGTGTTCGAGCCGAGCTTGACTGTGAATACTAAGCTCGAGCTCGAGCTAAAATGAGCTCGTCGAGAGACAATTCGAGCCTGTTAACGGGCCTCTGCGCCCGTGTCAGCACCTGCATAGTCTCGTCCGCCTGCGTCGTCCGCGTCTTCCCACTGACACAAGCCTACCATTCGTTGTTTTCAAGTCCACACATCCACGTTCTCCGCCAACACAGACCAACGTCCGAACGAGACCCCTCACCTACATCATCGCCAGTGTCGTCCGCATGCATCTGTGCAAGCTTCATTTTCATTTTTCCGTTGAACGAGCCTGCACATGCTTCATTTTCATTTTCTCACCGGCATGATACCCACGATTCAAATAAAAAAAAAAAAAAAAAAACTCTAAATGAATTAGATAAAATACTATATAATAGTATAATATTTTTTTGGAGTATTTTGGATATTCCAACGCGAATCGTGTGTGACAAATTTTTTACATCAACCGTCGAAGTCCGACTCGGCTGGATCTGCAATAGTATAATATTATAAACACACGCATATATAATAAACAATTAAACACACACACACATATATATATATATACACGTCATCAAAAAATTATTTTGATCAGGAACAAATCTCGATGCAAAATCAAGTTGGAAACTTCCAAAATTAAAATTGGGACCATCCTAACTCCAATTTCAGCAAACTTATAGTTGAATTGAACGTCTTGGAAATACGAACCCAACGACACCAAATTTGACTCAATCTGAGCCCAAATGAGTCCAAATCAAGGACCCGAAGCGTTGTTGGAATGTTCAAAACACAATTTGGGTCACCAAACAGTTTCCAAACATGACGTGCTTATAGTCGAATCCAACGAGCCCAAAATTGATATATTCCGACATCATTAAGGCCTTAAAATGCTTAATGAATGGTGCATGATCAAGGGATTCAGTATCAGTCATCCATCCAACCACTCCTCATTTACCTTTGATCTCTCACCTATTTACGAGCCATGACACTCCAAAAATCTATAAATATACCCCTCATTCCTCTTGAAAAAGGGATTGGAGCAAGAAGAAAAGGAAGAGAAGGAAGAAGCTCCTACTCGACCACCGCTAGACTTTTGCTGGACCACCACTTGAGGACCTCACTTCCGCCGGACCACCGCCTGACGTCATTGCTCCGTCGGACCACCGCCTAACGTCGTTGCTTCACTGGACCACCACGTGACAACGTTGCTCTATCGGACCATCACTTGAGGCCCATACCTCCGCTGGACCACCGCCTGATGCATTTGCTCCGCCGGACCACCACTTGAGGCCCGGCCTTCTGCCAGGCCACCACTTGACGCCAAGAATTTCTCCCAAAGTACCGCCCTTTTACTACAGTCTTTATGACCCTGGTCTCCTACTGACTACGGTCCTTCTGAACTGCATCACCTACTACAATCCTTTCGACCTCCATCACCTACAATTGTCATTCTGACCTCCATCATCAGACAACGATCTTTCTGTCCATGGTCTCTTGCCGACTACGGTCCTTCCGACCTCCGTCACCTATAATGGTCCTTTCGACCTCCATCACAAGACAACAGTCATTCAGACCCTGGTCTCCTGCTGACTATGATCCTTCTGACCTATGTCGCCTACTATGGTCCTTCCAACCTATGTCGCTAGACAACAGTCTTTCTGACCCCGATCTCCTGCCAACTACGATCTTTCGGACTCCTGTCTCCTGCCGACTACGATCCTTCCAACCTGCATCACCTACTACGGTCCTTCCGACCTCCATCACTAGACAACGGTCTTTCCGACCCCTATCCTATCGACTATGGACGTGCCGACCAAGCAAACACATCTATGTTGATTATTGTAACTCCCACCATATAATGCGCTTTATATGATGTACATTTGTATCATCAAGCCAATGCCTTCTCCCAAGGAAGGGCCTCATTTGTAATTGACTACAAATACTAGTGGATTCATTCATACTGGGCCAGGCCCCGTGGTTTTCCCCCCTTTTCAGGGGTTTCCACTTAAAAACTTTGGTGTCTCTTATGAACGCTACATCCTCTCTCTTATCTAATTGTGTGTTGGATCTTCGTACAACACTAATACATTAAACTTCATATTTCTCTACCGCAGAGAATATTCCAGGACGCAACATATATAAGATTCAGATTCTCTCAACGGGCATGACTAATTATATAGAGAGTTATTTCTCACGGGTAGTATACATTAAAAGCATGACATTTTGATTTTAAAATTAGGGTTTAAATTTTTTTAATTAAGAAATTAATTGGGTATTAGCTCAACTTAATAAGAAAATATCCAAAGTACGAACAAGAAAATAGTACGAGTTCAATACTGATTACTTGGAATGTTCAAGAAACTATCATATATGGGGATAATTAATCACGTAGAGAGATTCTTTATCTTCAAGCAATTCAATCTTTCAGAATGTGGGAATTGTGCTTCCATATTAATAATTAATTATATATGCTTGAGACTTTGTTTAGGACAATTTTATTAATGCTTTCATAAGCAATTTTTTAGTATAAAAATTTTAATTTAAAAAATTTTTGCACTAAAAATTATTTTATAAAACAATAAAAAACGTTATTCCAAACAAAACCTTAGAGAAGACACTTTATTATTCTTAAAAAAAGAAAGTTGACTAACCCTCCTATTCATTTTGAAAATTATTTCAATTAAATCTCATATGATACGTAAGATAGAACTTTCATTATATTTAAGAAATTAGTGAGATAAAATTTTCTCTACTTAAATTACATTGGTTGATCCATGCTTAAAGGGGTTTATACAAAGATCTATGCAAATTTTTTTTTTTTTTTTTTTTTATTATCTACTCTAAAATGAGCATTAATTTGATGATTAGCATTAGATCCCATGCAATTGTTTTGCATTTACTCATCTTAGCTATCAAACTACACCTCTATATTTCAAATACTATGATTGTTTAAATGCCAATGCTATGCATCTAATCTATAACCTTGAACAATTTATTTTGCTTAATTTGCAGAAAGGGGTAACGACCATTAGATGTTACAAGTTAAGACGAGCTTCCTCAGAATGATAAGTTGACACGGCTTAGGCATAGTATGAGACTTCATAGTGTTATCCCTTGTTCAGATTTTTCACATAAAATCTTGGTGTCGAAATTATTCTGTGTGGAGTTCGGATGGTTCTGGACGAGAAGAACCATCCAGACTGTGAGTGTAAGCATTATGTACATATAATATGTACAAAAATTTGATACACACTGTGTATAAATTTGTACACACTGTGTACACTCACGTGTTCGAAATGTTCTTCCCATCATGACTCTGCACAGAATAATTTCTCATCTTTATGACTCTTGCATCTTTGTCTTATCTGTGTGTACACACACTAAATCCCATCTCTCTACCACCGCAAATGATCCGGCATGCAAAAAATATATTTATTTAATATTAATTATATCTTCTAATATATCGTAACAAATACCCATATATCCTAATAATAATAATCCCCCAACTACTAGTCCTCAGCCTGAATCCGCAATATTCGATATTTGAGAAAAAAAACACTTAAATTATAAAAAAGAAATATTGTGCATGGCTTAATGAGACAAAAGTTTTTATTGAATCAAGCGGGGGGTGGGGGGGCTACCTTTTTAGGTAGAACAGAAACAAAGTCACTCGACGTCCAAATTAAACTCGGTCAATACCAAGAAATTCAGATCCAAAAATCAAGATCAAACAATGACAAATTGGTGCATATAATTTTAACATATATTTTGTTATTATTCTTATTATTATATAGTTTTCTTAGGCTGTATAGTTACCTAAAATTTCTATTTATATACACTGCGACTCCACTTATTCTCAGGGGAGAGAGAGATAACCACTTGTTCAGTTCTTCCCACAAGCAGAGTAGAGAAGAGAGGCAGAGAGAAAGATAAAAAGATGAGTTTTTTCTTCCTCTTTTTCCTCCTTCCTCTCACTATTCTCTTCCTCCTTTCCTTCCTCCGCCGCCGGCCGCCTCTGCCCTTGCCCCCAGGCCCAAAACCCCTCCCCATCATCGGCAACATGCGCATGATGGGCCAACTCACCCACCGCGGTCTGGCTCGACTTGCCGACCGTTACGGCGGCCTCTTCCATCTCCGCCTCGGCTTCCTCCACGCCGTCGCTGTCTCCACTCCCGAAATAGCCAAACAAGTCCTCCAAGTCCAGGACAACATCTTCTCCAACCGGCCCGCCACCATCGCCATCTCTTACCTCACCTACGACCGCGCCGATATGGCCTTCGCCCATTACGGCCCATTCTGGCGGCAGATGCGCAAGCTCTGCGTCACCAAGCTCTTCAGTCGTAAGCGAGCCGAGTCATGGACCTCGGTCCGCGAAGAAGTCGACTCCACCATTAAAACTCTAGCTAACAAAACCGGCTCTCCGGTGAACGTCGGAGAGCTCGTCTTCAATCTAACCATGAACATCACCCTTCGAGCTGCTTTCGGAACTCAGTCGAGCGACAACGAGGAGAAGTTTATTTCCATACTACAAGAATTTTCAAAGTTGTTTGGGGCATTTAATATAGGTGATTTTATACCTTGGCTGAAGTGGTTTGATCTAAATGGGATTAATGAGAGATTAAGGAAGGCAAGATTAGAGCTTGATGAGTTCATCGATAAGATTATTGAAGAACATAGAAGAAATCCAAAGGAAGCTGATGCAGAGGATACTGATATGGTGGATGATATGCTGGCTTTTTTTGTTGATCAGACAGAGGAAACTGGAGGAAATGCCCATACGAAAGATTTCCAAGGAAATCTCAAGCTTACAAAGGATAATATCAAGGCTATTATAATGGTAATTATTAACTAATCTTCCTTCTTAATTAAGTTTTATTTTTTCAAATTTTTTTAATTATATTCGTTAACGTTGATCAGATTGCATCTCTTTCTTTGTTAGTTAGTACTGGCATGCATAACGATTAAGCGCACCATTTCTTTTTTATATTATTTATACATCAAAAGTTTTTTGCTCAACTGCTTCACCATCACCGATATGACATTTGTGCAAATTAAAGGGGCGATTTTTAAATTATTGATTTTCTTTATTCTGGATCACGCAAATTATAGGCCGGCGAAATTTTAATGGTGACTTAGCAATGAATCTAGTGATATCTGTAATTAAGACCATTACAGGTACGTATCTGTAATATTTTAATTGGGCTCGATCTATTTGTAATTATGAATACGTATTAAGAATATAAATATTTATAATTACGGAATTTATATTTTAAATTTTGGTAAGAAGAAGTGATTAGTTACTTCCACCCTATGATTCATGCTTAATTATAATTGCACATATTAAAACATTTTAATTAGCTTTTAATCAGAATAAACTGAGGTAATTTTTCTTCTTCTTTTTCAATATTCAATTATTCATAAAGAGCAGTTTGAATATTAAATTATTGTAAGACAAACAGATAATCTTTTTACCCAAAAAGATTCATCTAGAAGAGAAATTGTTCAAAGACCAATCAAGAAACGTCGCGTCATTTTTTTATTATTTATTGGTGCTATGTACTGATATGTACCAGGTGATGTGGCGCATCCTGATTTACCTCTGGGCCTTCTGGTGACTGCACAAAATAATTTTTCGTACAAAGGCTCCATATAAAAACTATCCTAATAAAATAATCAATTCTACAAGATTTTTAATTAATTTTAAGAGACGGTGTACCTTTTTGCTAAGTTGTTATAAAGTCAAATAAAATAATAACTAAGTTTTAAAAAATAAAATAATAAAAACCCGTCTCAAACAAAACCTAAATGAACTCAAAGGCACTTTTCAAACTTTTTATAATGATTTTTGTCTTATAAAAAAAATTGATGATACTAAAATGAAATGAAATTTTCTTTTTTTCATTTAAAAAAAAATATTGTCAACAAAATATGATCCTTCAACTTCAAAAACATAGATATTATCAACAACAAGTTAAGCAATGGATCAATCACAGTCGACATTCTCTTGTAACTGGACGCGACAGTCCTCATCAGATCACGACGTCGCTCATCCTATTTGCTACCAGTCCTAATCGATCAAGCTGAGCTCTCCACTATAAGGCCCTCTTGCCCGATGAACAGCCTGCCAGAATTTTCTTTATCATGATCACATGTGGGATCAATATTGTACTAAAAAACTGCTTTAAAAAACGAGGAAAAAACCGTCCTAATAGCTCTATGTCACTGTCAACTTTTTCTTTATTGCCATCTTCGACCACACAGCTGCAGCCTGCAGTTACGAATCCATTATCTCAAGCCTCGACTGTTCTCGGCCAGCTTGCTGCCACGAACGACTTTATTTTTAACGGTACAATCTTATTTGAATTTCTATTGATGGCTGCGTATACATTTATTGAATGTTCAGATGAGTTTTTCAAATCTCACCCAACATTATTCAAAGTTATAAGTTGTTAACTACACTATTTGGAATTATTTAAACTGCACGCGCAAATTGCATGAGGGCGGGTAGTTGGTTTACGCTGGCCACCAAACATTCAATCGTAATATTTATTTTATCCTGGGTCAAAATGAAAGATCGCATGCAACACTTATTTAATTACAAGCCAAATTATTACTTGCAGTCACCCGATATCAATTAGGACACGCCACATCACAAACTTATTATATATCATGCGTATTGGGTGGCGTGGTTCATTCTAATTGATCTTCGTTGTCCAGCCACCGGAGGTCAATCAGGACGCGTCACATCACTAATTTATTATATACTGTTGTGTATTGGGTGGCGTGACACGTTCTAATTGACCTCCAAACTGTCCAGTCACTGGAGGTCAATCAGGAAGCATCACAAACACTAAATTATTGTGTACCATTGTGTATCGAATGGCATGGCTCGTTCTAATTGACCTTAGGATTGTCCGATGATGACCGCAAGAGAGAGAAGAAGACTAAAATTATAGAGAGAGAAACAGTGCATATTTGATATTTCACAACACTATTTGTTACACGGAAAAAAATGTTTTAATAGTATTGTCTCATTAAATTAAGAGACGTGTAATTTGCGAGAATCATATTTTAAATACTACTGTAGACAATTAATGCACGTAGCAGATCGATGGTTTTTTTTATAATTTTTTAATTTATGTTGAAATTAATGCATTACATGATACATATAAAATATTAATTTCAGCTTAAATACAAAAATTTTTGAAGCTTTTTTTAAAATTTAAACGCATTGAATTTATCATCTTAAGATTTTAATAAAGAATTCTTTTTCTGCTGTTGCGCGTGCAGGATGTGATGTTCGGCGGGACGGAAACAGTGGCTTCAGCAATCGAATGGGCAATGGCGGAAATCCTTCGAAGCCCCGACGAACTGAAACGGATCCAGACGGAGCTCAATCAAGTCGTCGGCCTCACACGCAAAGTCCACGAATCGGACCTCGAAAAGCTCCCTTACCTCAAATGCGCCATCAAAGAAACCCTCCGCCTCCACCCTCCCATCCCGCTCCTCCTCCACGAAACCGCCGAAGACTCCGCCGTGGCGGGCTATTTCATCCCCGCGCGCACCCGCGTGATGATCAACGTATGGGCGATCGGCCGGAACAAAGCCGCTTGGAAAGACCCCAACGCCTTCCGACCGGCGCGCTTCGCGCCGGGCGGATTAGACTCCGCCGTCGATTTCCGCGGCAACTTCTTCGAACTTCTACCCTTTGGTTCGGGCCGCAGATCCTGCCCGGGGATGCAACTGGGGCTGTATGCGCTGGAGCTGGCCGTGGCGAATCTGCTACATTGCTTTGCGTGGGAATTGCCGGACGGGATGAAGCCGTCGGAGTTGTCGATGGACGATGTGTTTGGGCTAACGGCGCCGCGAGCGGAGCGGCTGGTGGCGGTGCCCAAGCCCAGACTCCTGTGCGCGCTGGATGCGTAGAAGGTACGGTGGCCTAATTAATAAGGAAATTGTGGAGTACTGTCATGTAATTTCGTATGTATTACTGTCGCGAGAGGGAAATTGTGATTGTTGTTGGAGAATTTTACGTCGATTGATTTTATGTTTATATGTATGAACAGATTGCTGAAAGGGAATAATTACTTGTTTATAATGCGGGGAGTTATTGCTGAAGGAAAATTTGTTGAAGCTTTCGTTCAACGACCTAAGGGGGTTTGATATTTCCAATTGTGGAAGTTGTTCGGTTGAATTTATGTGATTGAAAACGACGATTAATGAATCATTATTCTTGAAAAAAATATGGTGGACGTCAAGATTTAGGCTTCGTTTGGGACGATTTTTTTATTACTTCTTAAAACAGTTTTTTAATATAAAAAGAAAGTTGTTTTAAGAAGCAGTAAGAAAGTCGTCCGAAACGAAGTCTTGCTTAAGAAAATTGGTATGTGGTAAGTACCAAAAGAAGCACTACAAAAGTCGTACCAAACGAAGCCTAATAACCCAAAAATTTGCCTAAAGATCAGGGAAAATCATAAGCAATAGAATTGGGCTCGAGAGATTATGGGCAAAGATGTGTTTCTTCATGGCCTTGACTAAGAGCCACAATCCAATAGCTATTATTGAAGTAAATTTGAAATCTGGTGAAAATTATTGGAGTGTGCTTGAAGAAGTAAATAACACTTTTAGATGTATATATTGAGATGAAGCACAAAAATACCATCAAATTAGGATAAAATGAGCTTGATGGAGTTATTAATATTGTCAATATTGAGACACAAGCAAGTCATCATCATAAAGAATGTGAGATATTTGTATGTTTCTCGTGCTAGTTTCATTGTAGGAACTGTTGTTGATGTGATGTTAAAAAATATTAGAGAGGTTGCCCGTTACAATACAAAAAAAAAGGTAGGGGGAAAGTGAATTCCCCTATCTCAAGTCGGATTTGGATCCAAAGTACCACTCAAGAGAATCGTTTAGATAAATAGAGTAATATATCAGAAATAAGGTTGTTGATATTGTCAATGAACTTGCTAGAGGATCATTTTTGTCTCATCTTTATATCGAAGAAATTTTTTGACACCGTATTAAAGATATCAAGTTTGGCACATAATATATTTTCCAGTCTAGAACTTAGATATAAATTATATAATATTGAATTTGAAAACAATTAAATTTATTTTAAAATTAACATAATAATTGTTATATAATATTAACTTCAAAGAAATTTAATAAATTTAAACTTATTTTAATATAATTTATATTTGAATTGTATAAAATAAAATTTCCGCATGTGCTAGCTTTGGGTGTGAGAAAAGAATATTCAAACTAGAATAGTAGAATGCAATTGAAATTCCAAAAAAAAAAAAAAAAGAATAATAAAAATTTCATGATGAAAATGACTTGAAGGTTCTAACCAAGGGACATGTGTGTTAGATAGCCAAATGCTAAGAAAAAAGGGCTGTCGATTTTGACCGGCACTTTGCTTTTATTGGTCAAATCTATCCAAAATTTTCAACAATGAAGACTGTTCGCTCTTTTATTTTTATAACCACGACCCCACCTAACTAAGACAAAAACAGATGCACCTTTATTTAAAGCTTTTACTTTTGTTTAAAATAATTGAGCTATTTTAGTTGTCACCAATGAGGTTTAGTTTGCTTCATTTAAGAATGTTTTAGCTATTTTATTATTTAAAACTTGACCACCAATCTCCCAACCAATGATTTCCAGACTATTTTCTCCCAAACTTTATCGTCTGATTATGATCATCAGACTGCTAACGCTGTGTTACGATCCTTTATCATTGTCACTTAGTTATATCAACATCAGCTAAATTCGTGAGTTCTCGTCACACGGTGTTGCCCATAAAAATAGTTGCATGTCATTGATGCCAACTATAACTCAAGACATCAGAACTAAGAATTACGTTTGAGCTATTAGTCTCTGATATCTTCTCTTCAAAGAAGAAAGATCAAATGGATACTAAGTGATCATATCTTGAAGATAACTCCCATGCCCTAAAATTCTTTCAACTTGTATCAAAGAATATATTATATAAGTTTTATGTCTACTATACTGTGTTAACTTCTTTTCCAATCGTATGAAACAACAAGATTTGCAACTAATAATAAATTAAATACTAATGGAAGAATTTGTTCAATTGGCCTAGATTACATGCGTGGTATTTTTGCATTTAGATTTTACATGTAAAAACTCTAATGTCTCTTACAACTCTTCCATTATTTATGCATATATTAAATTTTCATATAATATTAAGGTATTAAACCCTTTCACCACATTACTATGTTACTTTAATATATAACAAAAATTAAGCTAGAAATATACATTAAAAAAACTTATATTGTCACATTCTTAATTTATGCATGCATGATTACGAATAGAAGTTTTCAGTAATTCATTAATCATACTTTTTTTGACATATTAGGAGATTCAAACATGGGCGAGATCAAGAGGAATTTTTCTTTTGTTGACGAGCAAGCCTACAACCCGATCTCTATTTTTATTTTTATTTTTTTATTTTTTTTTTTTTTTGTTTTTTTGAGAAAATCCGGGGTTAAGCCCATATATTAAAAGAAATCAAATACAAGTAAAACTGCAGTTAAGGATCAAAAAATACAATCATTAGACTGAGAGAAAAAAAGACCAAAACTCAAATAACAAAAACTATCAGAAGATAGTAGTCATTGCAGCGGAGAAGGCTCCGGTTGCCAAGCTATACCGAAGGCAATAGTAGCAAAGTAGCAGCATACATAAGATGATAGAGTGGCCGTCACAGAACCTCCAATCGCAACCCGATCTCTAATTATACTTTATGAAAGCAAAGAAAAGAACTTATATCATTAGTTTAAGGTTTAAAAAGACAAAAAAAGAATTATGGTATTATATA